TTGATTTCTTAATTTTGGGCTAAAATAGGGGTTGTCTTATACATGGGGGCGTCTTATGCATGGAAAAATATGGTAAGTAGATAAACTGTTTGCTAGCAGTTTGATAACTTATCCGTGGTCTGTTGGGAACTGGTCACATCTTTCATTAAGAGCCATAAGCTCTTCTTAGGAGCTGCCATTAGCTCTCTTAAGCCAAGCTATGCCATGTAGGGCCAGCTCATTGGCTGAGAACACTACACAAGCACTCTCAACCAATGACCGAATGCACAGCCAAGCCTAGCTCAATGCAGAGAGCTTCTAGCTTTCATGAATTAGGTAACCATTGCTGGCAGACACATGTAAGTTGACAAACTATTAGCAGTTGGACTACTTACACTGTGGAGGCACAAGAGCACGCCTCGCATTACAACCATTACAATGTGATGTTTTGGTCATGGTGCTTGGAATTTTGTCAAAGTCTTTGATATGTTTGACCACTGTATGACTATTCTCTTAACTGGTATTGAGCATCCTAATCTGACCAGGTCCAATGTGTATCCAATCCATTAGCAGCTGTGTCCCTCAGTCACTTAGGAATAGAAACGGAATGAGCTCATAATTCAACAATGAGGACCCTGCTCAAACGAGCTTACAATCGAGAGGAGGTGGGGTATAAATACACAACAAGAAGGGTATTGAGGGAGACAGTAAATAGACATGGTGGGAAAGTAGCAGAACTGGAGGTGAGAGTGCAGTGGGGCCCTTTAAGAGAGAGCAAGAGGAAGGTTTGAGAGATAGAAGTTACGCTTGGAGGCCATAAGCAATAAGCAACTTCTTAAAGGATTGAAGACTAGGGGAGAGTCTGACAGGGGTAGGCAGACTGTTCCAAAGAAAAGGGGCAGCCCGTGAGAAGTCTTGCAGGCGTGACTTTGCAGTAAGGGTGTGAGCAGCAGACAGGAGAAGGTCACCAATAGAGCGGAGAGACCGAGAGGGGACATACCTATAGATCAGTGAAGAAATGTAAGAGGGGCTAGAGTTGGTTAGGGCTGTATAGATGGGCATGTGCATGGGAAAAATTTTCGGTTCGGTTCGGCATTCTGAAATTCGGGACTTCGGCAATTCGTCAGTTTGGCACTTCGACACTTCGGAACTTCGGCAACTTCGACATTTCGGAACTTCGGAACTTCGCCACTTCAGAATTTCGGTAACTTCGGCACTTCAACACTTCTTTGGGGCTGAAAACAGAAGATTTTAGAAGAAAGAAAACATCAAATGGTAAGTTTATTTTTATTTTTTTTACAGGTACTTAGTTAAATGGTCCCCCCTCATTATTTTTAGGGTGAGGGGGTAGGTAGGGGTTAATTTTTTTGGGGAAAGGGGTGACTAGGGGTTTGAGGTCCCCTAGTCACCTGCGGGAGGGGTGGCTATTTTTTTATTTAGAGCCCCCACCCAACGCTCAGGGGTGGGGGCCAGGGGGGAGGACATTAGGTTCCCCCCCTAATTAGTATTTAGGGCCCTCACCCACTGCTCAGGGGTGTGGGCCAGGGGAGAGGACATTGGGTCTTCCCCCCTCATTCTAATTTAGGGCCCCCACCCACCGCTCAGGGATGGGGGCCAGGGGGGAGGACATTAGGTCCCCCCAATTAGTATTTAGGGCCCCCACCCACCGCTCTGTAGTGGTGGCCAGGGAGGGATGATATTAGGTCCCCCCACTAATTAGTTTTTAGGGCCCCCACCCACCGCTTAGGGATGGGGGCCAGGGGGAGGACATTAGGTCCTCCCCCACTCATTTTAATTTAGGGCCCCCACCCACCACTCAGGGGTGGGGTCTAGGGGGAGGACATTAGGTGCCCCCCCCAATTAGTATTTTGGGCCCCCACCCACCGCTCAGGGGTGGGGGCCAGGGGGGAGGACATTAGATCCTCCCCCCTCATTCTAATTTAGGGCCCCCACCCACCGCTCAGGGGTGGGGGCCAAAGGGGAGGACAATAGGTCCCCCCATTACTTTACTTTAGGGCCCCCACCCACCGCTCATGGGTGGGGGCCGGGGGGAGGACAATAGGTCCCCCCCTTATTTTACTTTAGGGACCCCACCCGTCGTTCAGGGGTGGGGGCCGGGGGGGACATTAGGTCCCCCCCTATTCTGATTTAGGGCCCCCACCGACCGCTCAGGGGTGGGGGCTAGGGGGAGGACAATAGGTCCCCCCATTACTTTACTTTAGGGCCCCCAGCCACCGCTCATGGGTGGGGGCCAGGGGGAGGACATTAGGTCCTCACCCATTCATTCTAATTTAGGGCCCCCACCCACCACTCAGGGGTGGGGGCCAGGGGGAGGACATTAGGTGCCCCCCCATTAGTATTTAGGGCCCCCACCCACCGCATTAGGTCCTCCCCCCTCATTCTAATTTAGGGCCCCCACCCACCACTCAGGGGTGGGGGCCAAAGGGGAGGACAATAGGTCCCCCCCATTACTTTACTTTAGGGCCCCCACCCACCACTCATGGGTGAGGGCCGGGGGGAGGACAATAGGTCCCTCCTTATTTTACTTTAGGGACCCCACCCGTCGTTCAGGGGTGGGGGCCGGGGGGGGACATTAGGTCCCCCCCTATTCTGATTTAGGGCCCCACCGACCGCTCAGGGTTGAGGGCCGGGGGGAGGACAATAGGTCCCCCCTTATTTTACTTTAGGGCCCCCATCCGTTGTTCAGGGGTGGGGGCTATTTGGGGCAATAGGTCCCCCTTCAGGTTAGGAGGGGGAGGGGGGACGTGTTTTTTTTTTTCAGTGAGCCGCCACAGGCTGCTCACTGTTTAATAGACATGCCCCTACTCAAGGTATAGCGAGTAGGGGCATACTTTACTAATACTAAGTAATCTTTACTTAGTATTAGTAAATTTGGCTGAAAGACCAATTTAGGTCTTTCAGCCTTTCAGTAGATAGCTCCCTAATACCGTGGGAATTAGGGAGTTATCTACTTATTCATTCCTGTCATTACATTGACTGGCCAAGTAACTTACATTTTATATGAATGTGTGTTACTTGATTGTTGTAAGTGTTGCAAATGCTTACAGCTGAATCCTGGCTATGTTTGTATACTTTTTATTTAAAATTGTATACAGTGTAACATTCTTCTTCTTCCACTGGGTAAGTATATTAGTACTTAGGCAAAACTGTGCTTCGGAACTTCGGCAATTCGGCACTTCGGAACATTGGCAACTTTGGAACGTCGGAACTTCGACACTTCGGAAATTCGGTAATTTTTGAACTTCGGGACCTCGGTAATTCGGTAATTTTGGAACTTCGGTAAATCGGCACTTCGGCTATTCGGACATTCGGAAGTACCCGAATGTCCGAATTTCAAAAAATTTGTCCAAATAAATATTCGGCCCGAAACGAATTGCTCGTGTCTATTTATAGGTAAGGGTTAGCATTTTAAATTGACACATGTAGGGTACAGGAAGCCAGTGTAAGGATTGACAGAAAGATGAGGTGTGAGAGGAGCGACAGGAGAGAAAGATCAGTCTGACTGCAGCATTCATCACAGATTGTAGGGGGGCAGTACGGGTTCTGAGGAGACCAATTAGGAGGGAATTACAGTAATCCATGCGAGAGATTACTAGAGCATGAACAAGCTCATTGGCAGCATCTTGCGTGAAAAAGTGGCGTATGCGGGCAATGTTTTTAAGCTGGAATTGACAGGTTTTAGCAACAGACTGGACATGAGGCGCAAAGGTGAGGCCAGGATCAAAAATGACACCAAGACAGCGAGCTTGAAAGAATGGGATGAGGCAGGTACCATCAACCTGCAGGGAGAGTGAAGGAGGAGGATCAGTGTTATGAGGAGGAAAAATAAGAAACTCAGTCTTAGAGAGATAGAAGAGAGATAATTGGTGACATGTTGTAAGACAGCAGGGGAGAGGTCAGGGGTGGAGAGATATATCTGGGTGTCGTCAGCGTACAGGTGGAAGTGGAATCCAAATGAATTAATGAGTTTGCCAAGAGAGGCAGTATAGAGAGAGAACAAAAGGGGACCAAGAACTGAACCTTGAGGGACTCCGACTGAGACAGGACGAGGAGGAGAGATGTTGTTGGAATAAGAGACACTGAAGGAGCGTTGGGAGAGATAGGAGGAGAACCATAAGAGGACTGTGTCACAAAGACCAATAGATAATAGAGTTAGGAGAAGGAGGCCATGATCAACAGTGTCAAAGGCAGCAAAGAGGTCAAGAAGAATTAGTATGGAGTAGTGGCCCTTAGATTTAGCTGTGATTAGGTCATTTGTAACTGAGCAGTCTCAGTAGAGTTGAGGGGGCAAAAGCCAGATTGAAGAGGATCGAGGAGGGAGTTGGAATTTAGGAAGTGAGTCATACGAGTAAAGACAAGTCTTTCTAGAAGTTTTGAGGAAAAAGTAAGCAGGGATATGGGATGATAGTTGGAAGGGGAAGACTGGTCTAGGGATGGCTTTTTTAGGATGAGTACGATAGTAACATGCTTAAGGGGAGCAGGGACAACACCAGATGAAAGAGAGCAGTTTAGGATGTGTGTTAAGGATGATACAAGACAAGTGGAGAGAGATCTGGTAAGGTGGGAAGGTACCGGATCAAGTGGACAGGTGATGGGACGAGAGGAGAGTAGAAGCGAAGCCAACTCCTGTTCTGTAGCTGGGAAGAAAGCCTGTAGGGTAGGGAAGGTACAGTCGATGTGTGGTTGCGAAAGACAGGATCAAATGGGGGAGAATTCTTTACTTAACTGTTCAATTTTGTCTGTAAAGTAGCATGCAAGCCTATCTGCCGAAAGGTCAGTTTGAAGGGTGGCTTGAGGTGGGCGAAGGAGAGAGTTGAAGGTATTAAAGAGACGCCTGGGATTGTGTGAGCATGAACTAACAAGAGATGAAAAGTAGGATTGTTTAGCAAGGGTGGGGGCTGTATGAAGACAAAATGAATTTATAATGGAGGAAGTCATACAAGGTGTGGGACTTCCTCCAGCAGTGTTCAGCTGAACTGGAGCATCTCTGCAGGTAGCGTGTTGACTTAGTGTGCCACGCTTGGAGGCGCACCTTGCTTGAGGTTTGGGGTGGGGCTGCAGAATCTACGGCAGAGGTCAGGGTAGCGTTATATGAGGAGATAGCCAGAGAGGTACAGGAGAGGGTAGGGATGGATGAGTGTTCAGAATGGATTACAGTTGATAGCTGCTGGAGATCAAGAGAATTCAAATTTGTCCTGAGTTGAGGGGGATTAGGTTGAGGATATTGGTTGTGGGGGCACTCAAGAACAAATTATAGGAGGTAGTGGTCTGAGGAAATGGAGTATTACAGAGATTGGAGACTGAGCATGCATTTGAAAAAATGAGATCTAGTGTATTGCCAGCTACATGTGTGGGAGAATTAGCCCATTCTATAGGCCAAAAGAGGAGATGATTGAAATAGGTTTTGAGGCTACCGAGGACAAGGGTGGGTTTATGGGAATGTTGAAATCCCCGGGAATTAGGGGTGGAATATTGCTTGAAAGGAAGTAAGGAAGCCAGGCAAAATGGTCAAGGAAGAGACAAGGAGAACCAGGGGGCCGATAAATAACTGCAACGTTTGCAGATATCGGTTTGAATAATTTCATTGAGTGAATTGAAACAAAATCACAAAAAACTATATTTTCTTAAACACTGACAAACAGATAGAATGGTATGTGGCAGGAAGCCCAAATAAATTAGCCTAACTAAATAAAGTCAGCTCCTATGACTACCACAGTGTGTGATTAGATCCTGATCCCTTTCTCACCTTACACCTTAAAAGCTATCTTCCAAATGCTGTCCGACTAGGCATTCTGCTGCGAGACACACCCTGTTGTGCTCTTCATTGTATAGGAAAGGTCAATTCCAGTCACAGACTATAGGGATGTAGTATGTGCATTTCTCGCACTGTTTATTTTATGTCATATTTTATATATAATGTAACCAATATTACCCATCATCTCTATATGTTAAAAGATATAAACTGTTTAACTTTGGAATTCAGGCATACTCTTCACCCTTCTCTCTGGAATGATCACATATACTCTATAAGCTATATACTGACTCCAGATGTCTTCTCCACCTATGACCTCTGTTCCACTTCCAGCACTTTACTTTCCATTCATCACTACAAAATCGAGATGGGTCAAGCAGCCTTCTCCTACAAAGCTCTACAAATGTGGGATAACTTAATACAACCTTCCTGGAAATATCACATCTGCCACTAGTCTGATGTCTCGTAGAAACATCTGTCTCAATATATCATCAATCAAAAAACAGCTGCAATTATTGATAATATGTAGCTTTATTATATGTGTTTAAAGGCAGGTATGTAAAATTATATTTTGCAACTTGAAGATAAATGAAATTTCACTTAGGATTGTCACTAAATTCACCAGGATTCTTGGAGAAACGATAAATGCATTGTAAACATTTCACTAAAATATATGACATGGACAAAAGTCTAGTCTATTCTAAGTTTGGACAAATTCTAGCCTATTTTTACTCAAACATTCTTCAACAAATTTCTGGTTTAATGATTAATACTATAACAATAATAACTTTATTTTTCATAGTAAAATGAAATAATTGTATTTTATATAAATACGTGGGATTTGGAGTATTCACTGAACAAACAGTAACAGAGACTCACCTATACAGAATGCACTTATCTGAATAACAAAGCAGACCTTGCCAATGTGTGTTCAAATGTGTGCTAACTAGACTAATTAATCTTTCTGCTAGATTTACGTGATAAAATGTTGACCTACTGCGGGATTAAAAGATTACTAGTAACTGTTTTCAATGAAAGCTGCAACAAGCCACATGTCAACACAGCAATAATATGAACTCACTTTTACAATTCCTTATAATCAGATACTTGGGTTATTTAACTTTGTGTTTGAGTTTAAGGCATTTTGAATTAGATTTGTGTCTAGTGGCAGGCATCTAATTGACAGAGCCTTCTCCTCTTATTTTCCATGTTTAAAAACATTATTTAAATATAAAACACATTATTAATGATTGCAGCCAGAGAATAATAGACTGGCTTGTCAAACTTATAAAAGTAAATAAGAAATAATTGTGTACATGCATTAGACTACACTACGTAAGAACAGACAAAGCACATGCAACTAAAAATCACACTGGTTCGAAGTCCCTTATCTGCACACATACAAAGCCACAAAAACACAAAACGTATTGTGAACATATAAACAATATATATTTATAAAGCAAGTTTAGCACAATATTACCTGCTTACTAACACATACAACAGAATGTATCTCAATATACAATGAAGCAATATGCAATAGAGTGAATTGTGCTTCATTGAATTAAAACAAAAAGTTAATAGAATTACATGTATATGCACAGTTTCACTATATAAGATGGGATAATGTCTGTCCTGACATACCCTTTGAGCTAGATGCTTGAGTTGGAAGGTTTTTGTGGGGATATCACAATATTACTAAAAAGTGGATCGGCTTGAGGGAGGCCAGGTATGTGTGTGGGCCGTGGCACACTGAAATGCGGCTGGCGCCATCTTAATTCAGAGCACTCGCACACGTTTTTTTTTTTTTTATCCCCTGCAGTGACATTCCGTATATAAGATGACCCCCAATTCTAGACTAAAAAAATTTAGAAAAAAATATAGCCTTATACATGGAAAAATATATTGAAAAGGCCAAAGGACACTCCGGGACCATAACCAGTACAGCAAACTATAGGATGTTTGGAGTGTTCCGTTAAGAAAAATAGGTAATAGATAACAGTAATTTAAAATTATTTCTGTGGATAATTCCGCAAACAAAAAAAACATGTATGAGACACGTGAACTTTTTCCCCCTTTTTTATTGTGTATTATGGAGTAAACTTTGTTCTGTACTGCATGTACTCACATTTGCTGTTTTATCCATTTATTATAATACAGAATAGTGTTATGTTTTCCTGTTATTACAAAAATATTCAATAAAATGTGAATTGCATAAACTAAAATATCTTGGATGCTTTGGACAACTTACAATCAAAGATGACTTGTGTTGTAATAGCAAGCCAAGCTTAAACATTATCCATTTCATGCTCATTACATTGCATTTCCTGTACATTTAGGTGCTATACATACTTTTTTGTTACATATTAACAGATAAGAAAAGGTTTTCAATAAGTCACCTAGTAGACAGAAATTACTAGATCAGTTTGTAATGTTTCATATTTTATCTTTGTGTCCTAAATTTAAACAGACCTATAAGTCGTTTTATTTATTGCATGTTCTAAATAGTTTAAAATGTGTCAAATACAATATGTTGTAAACCAGTGGTTTACTTTAAAGGGCCACTATAGTGCCAGGAAAACAAACTCGTTTTCCTGGCACTATAGTGCCCTGAAGGGGGAGTAAGGGGGTTAAACACTCACCTTTCTCCAGCGCCGGGCTCCCTCTGCGCTGGGGACTCTCCTCCTCCTTCGGTCGTCATCGGCTGAATGCGCATGCATGGCAAGAGCCGAGCGCATTCAGCCAGTCCTATGGCGTCTTCTCACTGTGAAAATCACAGTGACAAGCGCGGAAGCGCCTATAGAGGCTATCAATGAGACAGCCACTAGAAGCTGGATTAACCCATTTGTAAACATAGCAGTTTCTCTGAACCTGCAATGTTTACAGCAGGCAGGGTTAATCCTAGATGAAGTGGTCTTGAGCGCTGAAGTGGTCTGGGTGCCTATAGTGGTCCTTTAACCCCTTAAAGGACCAAACTTCTGGAATAAAATTAAATCATGACATGTCACACATGTCATGTGTCCTTAAGGGGTTAAGAACAATAAGCTACCATTTATGTAGTTATTCTGCAAATATTTAATGTTGATTTTGATCCATACAAAAACTGCACATATGTAAAGAAAATACAAATAGTTTCATGTATTAGATCATCTAAAAATAAGGATCCAAAAACTTCATTTTTTTTCATACTTGCAAACTGTTTTTCCTAGAACCAGTATGCAAAGAATCAGAAATAAATCAGTGTTAACATTATTGCAGCTCATAGAATTTAACCCCATGACAGAGCAAATGTCTAAACAGAGAAATTGGTGCTGCAAACAAGGTGACTGGCTTATGATAAGGTTCCCCAATTCTTGTTCTTTATCTCAAGTTTAAGAAGGGGGTAGGCAAATATTTACTATAGTTAATAAATCAAAGAAGCATTCCTAAGTACAGCATTAGAACATCTTAAATAAACATCAAACAGAACAAATTGCATGCACAAATTCTATATATTAACCAATATTATTGTTGGTGCTGTTCTATATTGCATGAGTTATCTACAATAAACAATATGACCAATGCAGCTATAAAATGTGATTGTGTGGGTACATGTAAACAAAGGAGAAGATAAAGGGATAGTATACATTTTGTTAATGCTAACACATTTTGCCATTGCCTTGATAACAAATACGTAGACACACTTGCTCTCACTCTCTCTCTTTATCTCTCTTTCAGAAGGTACAGAGATCTGACTTAAAATGTTGAATTTTATAATTTTGATAGTGTTTTGGATGGGACATCAAATTAAAAAGGTACTTGTTTAAAGGGACCCTCCAGAAACCTTAAGCACTTCAGCTTTCATTCTTTTTTTATTTTACAAAAAGTGCAGATTTCAATAGAAATTGGCAAATTTATACCTTGTTACACCCCCTCCCCTGACTGTAAGCTAGACAAACAGTCCTGTTACTTCCTGGTTGTTTAGCGTTGTAGAGCTAAACTTAAAGGAACACTATAGCATTAGAAGTACAAATCTATGAAATACCTACTCCTATCTTTAGCATCTATATATAGTGTCCTATCTATAGTAGTCCCCTACACCAGTCCCATAATATTAATAAAAATAAAGGGGTTAATCACCATTTTCCAGAGCCACCTCTCTGCCTACGTTGCTCACTTCTCTGCCACCGACAATGTAATTGAGGTGGCATGGCTCCCTCCAGCGATGGTCCAATCCAATGCTCCTTATAGAGGAGCATTTGGGACCTGATGCACGTGTGCAGCGAGCATCATGCACTCATCCAAAGCTCATGTTAACTGCTACATCACGTGACAGAGTTATACTCAGTCACAGAAGCAGAAGTGCCTCTTGTGGCTTGTTAGCTACTATAGGTATGTCAATATTTTACTTTGAAGGCTTAAAGATACAGGACCACTACACCCAGAACATATAACTGAGATGAAGTGGTTTGGGTGACTTCAGTGTTCTTTTAAGAAACAGGCAAAG